AAAAAAAAAAAAAAAAAAAAAAAAAAAGCCAAAAACACTGATTTTCAGGTTCTAGTCACATCCAGTTACACATTCAAACAGAGCTCAGACCGTTCTGTGAAGTGGGAGCGGTCCAGAAAACCAGTCCATGGTTCTCTTGAAAAAGGTCTGGAGCACAGTTCTACTGAACCACGGTGCGACCTGCGTCAGGGGTGAAGGCTATGAGCACTTGGTACTCCATGCCAAGTAACCTGATGGCTTCAAATTGTTCAACTGTTTCTACTTTCTACAAGGTGGGGAAAGTATTATTACTGATAAAACCAGACTTTCATAAGACTGGAGCACTCACATTTGTGGAGCAAATGCTTGTATACTAGAGAAAACACAAGTCTCATGCTAGCCTCAGCAAAGCTAAAAACCATCTTCTACGTTTATAGGTCCTTGTGTGCAGATACTCCTGGACGAAAACATGCTGTGCATCCAAAAAGTGCTGTCCTTCACTGTGGCTGTGCCAAAATAACCAAAAAACAAACAATGAAAAAACAAGCCCACACACCAATCAGATGAACATAGTGCCTACCATTCTGCAAACCTGTGTGCACAATCGGGACGTATGGAACTGCACAATCGGGATGTATGGAACTGCACAATCGGGACGTATGGAACTGCACAATCGGGACGTATGGAACTGCACAATCGGGACGTATGGAACTGCACAATCGATGCATAGTTTGTTAGGAACTCAATGTGAAAGCAGAAACACAATTATGAGCTCCTCCTCCCCAAATCAAGCCCAGAATCCTTTCTGGTTGCAGACTCAAGTACTCAGATCAAGTGCAAAAATGCCCTTAATTTAACATCTCGTGTTACAATCACAAGATTTCCATATCGTGCAGTCCTCCTACTCTGTAACTTCTAACACTTTCCACACTTAAAAGACAACTCCAGCCAGAGGCATGACTGGAACAACGTCCTGGCCGGTGAGAATTCTGACACCTCACCTGTACGATAAAAGAAGCCTGTGACACCATTTCTGGAGATTAATTTGTGCTGGATGTTGGTTGATGTTACATGTTTTTGGAAGGAAATTTATTCAACACGTAATGACTAAGCAGTTTACTTCAGGGTCCTGTAAGCTGCATTCAGGAAAACAAGGTAAACCATAGAAAAACCTGACCCAAAAAAAAAAAACAGCCTTAAGGACATAAAACCACAGCAGCAGCATCTACAGCAACTTTGCAAGAAGTTATGTATTAATACAAACACGTCAGTTGCCTTTATATTCTTACTGCGGTAGAAACTACATTTTAAAAAGCCCCACTGTTTTCTCACGTACAGCCGACAGGTAAACGTCCCACCTCCACCTGGCATTAACATGCGGACTGCCGAGGCGCACAGCTGTTCACATCTGGTATTACTAACGTGTCTGCAGCAACCACTTTTGATCTGATTTACATCGTTTCCAGTGGAGAAAAGCTGTCACGCACATTTATTATTTCAGTCTTCCGCAGCATTTATTTTCAGGCAGAAACGCCCGAGGAATCTTATCTCACCGATTCAAACCTTTAACCACATGGTCTGCTAACAAAATTTATAACTGAATGAGAGATGTGAGAACAAAAGAAGCTATGAAAAGCAGCAGCTTTTGTCTTACAGCGTTGCCATTATCTACTAACCTAGCAGCAGAAAGCTCTAACATTCACCAAGATTTTCAAACAGCCTCTAAGTGATGACACGGTTGATTAGTTGGTCCCTAGTTGCTCTCCGGGATGCATCGAGACACATTCGCATTCACACTACCAATGTGATGTGGCCATATGCGTCCCACATCACCTCTGAATGTGGTTTGAGTGATCAGATCACAATGCATCTTCGAGACACATTTGACCCCGTTCACACAGGTACTTAGCGCTGTTCACTTATGATCCGAGCATCCAGGACGCATGTTAATACAGGGCCTAAAAGGATACACTTACAAAGCCTGATTTTCGATTTTCTCACTAGTGTGAGAAACTACTGTATGATTGTGGAGGATATTTGTGTCAGAAAGAACAGCTTGATACTGAAACAAGCACCGCCCCAAGTTCAGACTGACGTCACAGTGTTGCACTCGCGTTTAACGCTGCGTTCATGCCATGTCGGAATTACTGTAATTACTAGATGACAACCTGGACGTTCTACTCGGAGCTGTTCATGTCCTCAGACCCAAAATTATGCGTTTCTATATGCCAAAATAAATCTGTATGAGATGATGTTGACAACTGCAAAATATGTAATTACAACATTAAATCCCATTTTTATGCTTTTGCTAAATACTGAAGAACACAGAAAGCGCATCAAAATTATCGCATCAGAACAACTTAACTACATTTTACTGCTGAAGCCGGTGCCATTTTGAGTGTTTCCGCATGACGCTGCAGTGGTCAGGTGGTACTCAGTCAGAGCTCTCAGAAAATTCCTAGTTTACAACTTGTGATTACGAGTTCTACCAAGACGTAAACACTTTTTACAAGTCAGAATCTTGTAATTCCTGTAATTACGATACAGCGTGAACGCAGCGTAAGAACGACTTCCAACTTTTCTGTAAAATCAGTGTTGCCAGCTTAGAGACTGCTGCTAGATTTGGCAACATTTTAAGACCCCTTTAGTGAATTTAATTCAAAAAAGAGCCTAGCGACAAATCTAGCAACTTTCTGAACAGATGTTAGTGACTGTCATGAACTCGAAATGGCTCTCCAGCTCACATCACAGCTGATAAACGAGTTTAGAGAGCAGGTTCGCTCGACTCACCATCAGTGTTCCTACTCTTTTTAAGACATCGTATACCAGGACTTTTCCAGGACATTTTCAATGATGCAGAGTTAGCGTGATCACCAAGCATTCTGCCCTTAGGCTTATGACAATTGGCAGTAATATCGGAAATTGTCAATAGATTCCAACTATCGTGATGGCTGTCAAATTGGATGATTTAAATGTCTGGGGAAACACGTGCTGTCTGCAGCTTTAAGACGGACAAAAATAAAGTGTGCTGTATCTAGTCATGCCTGAACCTTAATAACCCGCCGACTTCGGAGCAGAGCAACAAAACATCTTTCACGGATTCATCGTAGCTTCCCTTGTCCCTGCTGATGAACAGATAAAGCCCTGAATATCTTCACTCTCAAAACATCAATGAAGACCTAGATCAAGAAAATGACATGTTCATCGGGGAGACTTCACTATATATGCGTGTAGTGTAGTTTTTTTCTAATGAGCTACAGCTAGCTATAGCTAGTTACAGCTAATAACTAATTACGTTTATTTACAGGCCCGACATTAGTTCTGCATGCATTCCTGACATTGTTGATGAGTAATTAAGCAAAAAAAAAAAAAAACTGACTATACGCAAACACTAGCGATTGCAGCTACCACAGACTTTTACGCAACACATGTTATGTAAGTCTGGCCACACCCACTGGCCACATTTTAAATGACTTAAATTAGTGTTTTGATTAGTCATAAATGAATTACAGTACACTATATGGCCAAAATTATGTGGACACCTAACCATCACACACGTATTTTTGGAGGGAAAGAACTCGAGTGTCCTGCACAAAGCCAGGACGTGTGGGAACCCATGCACTGCGTCCCAATTCGCCTACTTACACTATGCACTAAAAGTTTGTACTCTTTTGGTGAAGAAAAAATACATACTTTTGAGTGTGTAGCAAAAAAGAGTATGCAAGTACTGGGACATACTAACACGTCACGTAACGGAAGAGAACGTTGTTGCCTAGTTACACACACTGCCACCATAAACAGACCCCTCGTTGCATTTCAGCTTTTCTTCATTCATTATTCCTTTAAATAACTTTGGTTAGTGCTTAACATTTAAGTTCTTACACTTAAATACTGAACACGCATCACCAAAGTTACACTCATCCACCATGTTTGCAGGCTGAATTCGGCAAAGCACATTCGATTTGGCGCAGTTTTTACGTCAGATGCCCTTCCTCACGCAACCCTCCCCAATTTTTTTTTATCTGGGCTTGGGACCGGCACTGGGAGTAGACTGTCGTGTGTAACCCCAGCGGCTGGGGCTGGTTCCCTGGCTGGGAATCGAACCCGGGCCACGGCAGTGAGAGCACCGAGGCCTAACCACTAGTCCTCCAAGCACCCATATACAAGAGACGATACAGTTTGTGTCACCTTTTTTTAATGAAAACTTCACTGGAGTTGCTCTTTCACAAGTGACCATATTTTCAAGAAAAACACAAAACACCAACTGAGTCCAAATAATAAATAACCTTAAATTAAAAACTATTAAATTACGTTCACAATGCCTTCACCACCGCAGAAATGCACTGTAGCTTTTCATCATCTGTGGTATTGTAATGTTGATGTATACCTGCAGATGAAACGAGCAGTTTGATAAAGCAGGAAGGTTTTTGTTTACGAGGCATCATGCGTCATTGTGAGCCTGATTCCTTGATCTAAAGCTCCTGAAAGACATACGATGAGGCCCTGACTTGCTGAAAGTATGTTTTTACCCACTCTGTAGTGTATAATGCCCACTACATGTTGATGCCACAGTGCACATCTCAGCGGGTCAGTCTCACAAATAAGTCAGGTTCTAGACAAAACTAAACCAAACAACTGTTATAAATTTTAAACGAATGAAGTATAAGGCGCAGGAGATGTGCTTGTTTTTGTATGGAAAAGCCATGCCGACTGGGGCTACGTTTACATGCACATCAAATTCCGTTTAAGGTCTATATTTGGGTTGCAGCCATATTCCGAATCCGAGGAATATTCCTGTATACGTGGTTGTTGTAAGTATGCCTGAGTTGTCGTTCCTAAATACCTAACCTACACCTAAGCATCTGTTAGCACCCACAATTCCACATATTTCTCCTTTCAGCGGATTTTCTGAATAAGGTGTTTACATGCAACAAATTTTAGATTACAGCAGACATGTTCCAGGAGTGGGAATCGGAATTTGGGGAATCAGAATATTGTCTTCATCTAAATCAGGCAATCAGATTGCGGCGTTTCCACGACTCGAGGGTTGGTCCCACTAGACTTTCAGCGTGCGAAATTTCTTTGGAGACCGCTGTGAACGTGAGCGGCAACCGGATATGACATCACGCACCAAGGTTTTTTTTTTTTTAATCCACACATTATGGATTCTGACGTGCTTCTCTTTGGATGTTGAGTTTATATTCTTTTACAGTTGTGTTGTATAAAACGAGATGGTGCGACACCGATATAATCAGTGCTTCCTCCATTTTGGATTTTCTGAAGAAGGTGACTCCGTGACGTGTCGATCTTGTACCGGTCACACGTCTTCAAGTGATCCGAATCTGAAACTCCTTGAGCTCGCGTCTCCGGTCTCCAGCGTATACGTAGACGCATGGATAGAATCGATGGAACTGAGAAGTCTAGTCTGACCTCTGCTTCGATTAGAACGAATTAGAAGACTGTCGTAAAAATCCGATTGAGATCGGAATACTGCTGCGCATGTAAACGCAGCCTGGGAGTGTGATTCGGTTCACCTGCACCAGCTCAGTCCTCACTCCTCCCCACCCCGCCATCTTGAGCCAACCCAAGCTGCCATTACTACTGAACACAAATCAGCGTGTGTTTCCAAACCTGCCTTCACAGCTCACTTCAGAGGAGATGAGTGCACTGACTGAGCTGTTCCACACACCCACTAACGCAGAACCATCACCAACATTTCAACAACACTGCACAACACTGCACAGCTTTAATGCAGACACACCAGGGCCCTGTACCTGCGCCCAACACTTCTCACTAATCAAGTGCACAGTGATATTAACTCTAATAAACGCGCACTGCATATTGCATGATGAGTTCTGCAGCACTAACGATCCTGAACACTACTTATCTTCAACCATTTCACCTGGTTACCATTTAACTAGCTTTATCCAAGGATATCCCATCCTATCCTATCCTAGTTTAAAGCCTGAATGAGAAGCAGGAGCAGTTTGCTACGCTAACGTTAGTTAGCTGTCTAACGCAGAACCACCGCACAGTTAGCGTTAGCTATAATCAAATAGTGCAAACAGGCCGGGTTAGTCTTTCAGCCAGAAATAACAAATTATTCTCTAATTTGTTCTCTAATAGAGGAAAAGTTGTTCTGACTGCACTTTAACACACCCAACTGAACCAATTTTGCCTTAAAAAATGTACGTTAGCAAGTTAGTCAAGTTATTCTGCTTGTTAGCTTGTTAGCTGGTTAGCTAGTTAGCTAGGTCCTCCACTCTGCTGCTTGTAGCAAGTTTGAAACTTGGTCATGCAGTGAACCTAAAGCCAGTGAACAGAAATAAAGTAAGCAGGGGAATCAGCAGCACCAAACCAGGACCAAGGGCAAAATGTGTGGTTGTTTAGTTTACCTCCCTAACTTTGCTCAAGTAGCTAGCTTTTTAGCTTTGTAGCCAGCCTTGAGAAACTACGGCCATTGCGCAGCTACAGGGCTGCTAACGCGTTTTTTCCTTTGCGTGCGCACACAGAATAAACTTCTCCCTGTGTCAGTGCTGAGAATGTGTCAGCTTGACCAGCTCCGTCTCCACGCTGCTGCACAGCACGGCTGGTGTGTGAACACGCTGTGTGAAGGAGTGCAGGAGAAAGGGCCGGCTCAGGCACTTTACACAACTTGCTAGCTACCTTTAAAAGCAAGGCCTTCGTTCTGGCGCCATCTTCATGAAGCCTCAGAAATCCAAACAGTGAGCTGCAAGCGAGAAGACAACACACAAGGCTCGGTATCAGTTTAATGTCGTTTAGTCTTTGTTTTTTTTTTTTTTGTTTGTTTGTTTGTTTGTTTTTGTTTTTTTTTTGCTAGCTCACGCAGAGGAAAATATTTTAGCCGACAACCAGTAAGTTTGAAGAGTGTTTAGACGGCGTTTCTAACCTGTCAATTCCTGCTAAAGTGTCCCTCTCCTGCGCTGTCAGCCTGGGAAAGTCCTCCTCGGTCTCACTCGCTTTTCCCGCCGCCATTTTCTTTTCCTCATCACCAGCAGCGCCGAGGCTTCGAGCAGCAGCGCAGGCAGCTACAGCGAGCGACACTCGGCACGATTGCATGGAATTGCACCGAGGAAACGAAGCTCCAGAAAGGCCACACTTAACGCGCTAATATTCCCAAACTTTTCCCTTAAATGTAGACCAAAAAAAAAAAAATAATAATAATAATAAATCAGCCGTATATCCTTGCGGGAAATGAGTTGATCCTTCTTCTCACATTCTTCAGATCATGCATGTGATGCAGAAAATAAGCGATTCATACATAAATGGTCACTCGAGCACAATTACGGCGATGAATTACTTCAAATCATTTCAAACTTCTTTTTGCCACCAGATTAAAATTGTTATAATTGTGTCACATAGGCGAACCCACGCCGTTGCCTTGGACACGCCCACTCTCCGCGGAGCAGCCAATGGGAGGGGGGCAGGGTGGTCACGTGACTGTCCTCCTGTCTTCCAAAATGTATTTTTTTATAATCTACATCTCTGTTTGTGGACGTTTTAGAGGTTTTGTATTTATTCAGTGGAGAAAATAATAATAATAATAATAATAGTTTTGCTAAAAAAAAAAAAAAAAAAAAATTTATGATAATACTATTCACAGTTGGAATAAGCATTAAAAAAAAAAGTTTGTAATCCACTAGAGAGAGAGAGACGATTTTTGTGCTGTTGGCAAAATGTAAAACCTTTAAATAAGGAGTTCAAATGATTAAATACTATTTAATGTTTATACTATTTAAACAGCAGATTGCCGCCATTGCTGTGCAGTTTTTGGGTTTTTGTTTTTTTCCACCCATCACCTATATACAAGCATCCAGTCTATTCAAACGCGCTTTGTTATTGACAGCTCGGCTTTGCATTGCATTTTTAATCTGCAGAAGTGCAAATGAATGCGCTGTGTTTTATTAAACGTCCAGAACCCGGACATGCTTTAATATCTGAGACAGTGACGTGGCACAGCATCACACAGTGTGTAGGCGGGGCGTTAGAGTCACAGCTGTCAGCATCATCATCTGACATGGTGATGTAACCACCTCATCCTTAACATGCACTTCAGCAGCACCTGGGATGGCAGTGGGAGTGTCAACCTCAGCAACTGTTTTGTTTTTATTTTTGCCTGATCAGGCAAATGGTGGATGCATGTATCAGATGATCCTGAGGAAAGACCCAGGCTAGCTGCCTAACACATGACTAAACCCCACCATGGTTTCATGAGTTTATATATATTTCGGTCATATTTTGGAACCATTCCTATAAGATTCCTAGAGGAAGCTGATCCTGTTGTTGTTGTTGTTGTTGTTCTTTCAGCTGCTCCCGTTAGGGGTCGCCACAGCAGATCATTGGTCCACATGTTTGATTTGGCCCAGGTTTTACGCCAGATGCCCTTCCTGACACAGCCCTCTCATTTTATCCAGGCTTGGGAGTACACCAGTGGCTGGGCTGGTTCCCTGCCCGGGAATCAAACCCAGGCCACGGCGGTGAGAGCACGGGATCCTTAGCCACATAGGAATCTAATCCTTCATAGGAATCTAATCCTATGACCTAGGACCACTTCTACAGGATTTTTTTTTTTTTTAATGGGATCCATTTGGGTTCCTATTCAGGTCTGTATGGGAATTCAGTATGACTGCATTAAGCTGGTGATCCACTGACATCACCGAACTGTTGCATTCTTCTTTTGTGATGATTTTCCAGGCTTTTACCACAGCTTCTTTCAGTTGTTGTTAGTTTTGTGGGTTTTTCCCTTCAGGCTCCTCTTCAGGAGGTGAAATGCATGCTCAGTTGGGGTAAGGTCTGCTGATTGATTCAGCCAGTCAAAAAACTTCCACTCTTTTACCCTGATGAAGTCCTTTGTTTTGTTGGCAGTGTGTTTTGGTCTTGCTACACGACGACGTTCCTCCCAATTAGATTGGATGCGTTTCATGAGTTATACGAACGTTTTCCCCGTCACTGAGACAACACCTTTCAGCTGTATAGGAAGCAGAATAGCATGCTAATCAGAGCGTTTTGCCAAGAAAATCAGCATTAATGGTGGTAGACTGAAAGCAGGCAACTGTCTGTAAATTTGCTCCTGTATCCTGTACAGCCCTTTCAAAACAAAGTTTTATTTTTCATTTGGATTCCAGAAATCCCAA